CTAGATACAGGAGTTTCTGGAAACTACTTATACTAGCTAATCTAAACTGTACTCTATACTAAACCAGTCTCTGGATACCTCTCTAAGGCAGGCATTGGCATGCCAAATATCCATGTGGGTCGATCCCTGTTGCAGAGGAGACCTGTTGTCATCATGCCAAATACCTGGGTGGTCCTGTCACCTGTGGAAACCTAATAGTTGTCATGCCAAATATCCGTGGGAGTTGACACTCATTGCTGGGGTGTGTTGTCCTGCATAGTGAGGGTCTGTAGTGCTGCGCAATGGTCTCTAAGACCTGAAAATAGCTGTGGGAATATTGGCCTGACACACCCCACTGGAGGTGGGGTTGTTCATCATGACCAACCAGATATGTCCAGATCACTGGACTGCAACTACCTCCTCTACCCAAAATGGAGTGATGAAGCCCATTTGATCAGACCCCTGAATGACCCCAAATTCATGTCTCCCAATTGCAGGAAACATGTTTGGCAAGCCCCATATGATTCTGAGCATGAATACATGGTGAACTGCATAAATCAGATCTTTGATCAACTCAAAGGCAACTTCAGCAATCAGGTGAGACCATGCACAATGCTGCCACAAACATATGATGAGCTATGAAACTCAAAAGCCCATTTGATCAATGAGCCTTTACCCATGGTGATTTGTATGGCCAAAACATGATCCTGAATCCCAATGGCAAGGTTGTTATCATTGACTGGGAGTGGGTGGGTTTTGTGCCCTTGTGTGAGGGCACTAGGTCTAGCAAGGTTGCCACACACTAATCCCAAACAATAGATGAAGTGCTGGGGGGTCTACTGTGGTTGAAAGCGACTCCAACCAGCAGTACTAGTTGATATCCACATCACCAGGGCCAGCTGGATTATTGGGGGGGTCCAAGGGGGTCACTGGGGGGTCCCAGGGGGTGTTATAAGTCAGTTATAGATAGCTGAAAAGTGTAGCAAGAGTTGTGGAGTCAAGGCAAGTTTCTGAGAGCAGGGTGTTCAGGCATGTGTAGAAGGGGGTTCAAGATGATGAGATGACTTAGAAACTGCTTGTAGACTAAGTAGTTTCCTCAGAGATCAAATCTGAGGGATACAGCATCATCGTACTACTGTTTATATACCTCATAGGTGTTCACCAGAAGTCCAGGAGTCCAGGTAAATTCTGGGGACTCCTACAAGTGTCAGATAGACATCCTAGCAATACCCCTAGGCCTC